TGTGAAGAGGCTTCGACAATTGTCGAAGAGGAGGAATAATTTAGGTTAGTGCTATATTGTGTTCTATTCTACTTTCTCAGTTGTTCACCCATCTTTTTTGAAGGCTGTCATGATGGCAGCATCAAGAAACGAGTAGACTTATCTATCTCTCTGTCCTGTCCCAAATAGTTATTAATCTGAATTCTATTTATGAGAGAGTAAAATAAGTCCAAACAACTCCTATTAGAGAATAATGATTTTAAACAAAGCTCTTCCCCAATCTGCCCATTTCCTGTTGCCAATGGTTTACATCTGTAAGACGCAATCTTCTTATTTAATTCGATTTCAGAATACCTATTTTGATCCCATATGCACGAGTAGAAAAGAAATTTAGACGGAAATCCGCATGCTTGGGCCTCCTAGACACGACTTTACTCAACTTTGTACCTTCTTCACTTACCAGTACATTAATAAAGGTCAGTTGATCATCCCTTTATAACTCCATAATACATTTACTTGTTTCATCTAAGCTATTCATTATCTCGAGAAATTTATCTAATTTGTTCTTGCCAGGTTGCCAAACGGCCATATTTTTAAGTAATTAGAAGATCTTCCCATTGGTCCATGTAGTTATTAGCTAAAAGTGGAGCCAAGCAGGATTCCACAATTAAACCTCCTGTTAGTATCTACAACTTGTGTCCATTTAATTTCACATTACCTTGTTTTTTAAAAAGGTGTTCTCATCCAGAGTGGACTACATCTCATATAAGTGATTTACTGGTAGTCTCGAAACGACTTATAAATGAAAAATAAGTAATGTGGTCGATTACCATAGTAAATATAACTTTGCTTAATCGATAATTCCACCAAAGAATGTGATATGGGAAAATACATGACTTTCCTTAAAATTCCCATCTGCCCTGTGACCCAAGGGCATTCACGGCAATGTGGCAGAGTGGTTAACATGTTGAGCTTACAGGCTGCACTGTCATGGTTCGACTCCCGCTGGGAGTGTTAATACGACCTTTGCGAAGTTGAAACTGCAGTCCATCCTGGATGAGAATAACTTTTGGGAAGACAAGGCTATGTGAAATTCAATTTTGACATATAAGCTCTATTAATATGCTTGTTGAGAAATTCAACTACCAGTTTTCATCACATCAAACGAAATATAGCGAATATATCTCATATAATTGATTTACTGGTAGCCTTGAAACTCTACTTATAAACGAAAAATGAAGTTTATTTGTAAGAAATGTGAGTTGTGATTTTTGGATCGGAAGAAGGAATCCTTGGCTCACGATACTGGCGAGACATAAATCGTTTGTACGTATGAGGAACATTTTGTCTTAGATAAGGCCCTGTATCTACTCTTTTTACTTTCATGTTCGTTTCAAGAGGAAACATGTGCGAAAGTTCGCTTTCCCCGAAGAAGAAAATAGATTAAGTTTATTCAACTGTAATTTGGCCCGTGGAATGCTTCTTTGAATCATGTTAAAACGTGCTATGCATATACAGCATAAAGAAAGTCTACTCAACTCCTCATTTGGAATTAGTTACAAAGATTATACTCTACTCTGATGATGTATGTACAGAGGATAACGCAACAAAGAAATACCACATACATGTGCATTTCATGCACAGCATCATGGAATGTCTCATTAGAACCACAAAGTTAGATATAATAAGTCAGTTTAAGTGTTTTTCGTGAATGGTGGCTTCTGGCACTGACGATTTCTATCGCATGACAAACGAAAGCTTAGCACGTATTCTCTGGGTGGAAGGAAAACTGAAACTTTTTGGTACAATCCGATAGACTTAACTCCAAAGCAACCCTCCTTCTGTTTCCGGTAAGGATAATTCACGAATTCCTTCCGACTGATTTTTATTTTGAACTGTAAAGTCATGCCACAATATTTGACTGAGAAAATATTTAAAACTCAATTATTCATAAATAGAATGTTAAATAGGTTTCCATTGAAATCATACAAATATTCCTCGTAGAAAGAGTCATTTAGAATGTTCCAATAAAGCTTAACACTAGCTCGACTGTAGGAGTCATCCTTCAAATCTCTTTGTCACATAATTACACTTTAAACGGTAATGAGTCTAGAAATTGTCTGATAAAGACACTTTCATTTATTAACAATACACCACCAATACACAAAACCAAGAGAGATGGCCAGCTACAATCATACTCTTTATGCATCAACTTGGCTCAGCTTTAAGTATGTAGTGAGAAGCTTTAAGTAGGTAAAATAAGGTATACGAAGCTTATGGTGGAACACATTTATTGGTAGCGTCTATCTGTGACTTCTGTCTTAAATTACGGTTCATGGCTTGACGACACCCTAGAACTTAGTCACCATAAACTTATTGAGGCGATTTAAGGCCTAATAGTGAAATTCGCCTAAATTTAATGATTAGGTCCCGGGATTCCATTCAATTTCCCCAATTTTACCGCCGACATTTTTTTCCATCTCCAATTGACTTCAGTTTCGACCTTGCCTCATCATCTCATCGACACCACCAATCGAATTATGAACCTTAAGAATACCGTTTCGCTGGGCAGCCGCAAGGGCCAGTAGATCGTACAAGTTTGGCATGACCTTCGTGACAAGCCAGGCAGACTTCTGCCAAATTTCAATGGGCCTGTCAAGGAGGTGGACGTTTATTTGCCAGCAAAACCAAATATATTACTTCTTTTCTTTGGCTATGAGTAGCACTTGCAAACGCACATTATTGCTATAAGGCCAGTTCATATAATCATGGGAAATTTCGCTGAAAGCGACATATGCTGACTAAAGGTCCTATTAAAGAATGCTGAATTCATAAGAATTCATGATGATGTCTCTTACAGATTGTGATCCTATGGTAGTGATTCGAGAACGAGTCCGCAAAATCCAACAAATCTGGATTTAAAGGAAGTTCTAGGTCTACAAGTGCTGAGTTGATTTCCCTCTCGAGTTTAATTGTTGGATGAAGAAATTCGAACCTCAAGCCCACCAGACTGCAAAGGCAGAATCTGTTAGACCGAATGTCGGCCTCCTTTGCCGGATTAATTTCATTGACGTTGTGCTAAGCTTTCGACCATTATCTGATGGACACCATCATTGTGGCATAAGTGTGCCAAGTGGCCTCACTGGAAACCGAAAAAGGATTGCTTTGGAGCGAAGACTATAGGATTTTACGAAGAAGTCTTCGGCGACTCCGATGCATATGTGCTGTATTTGCGTCTGCTGCACCGTGACAGAAATCGCCATAGCAAAAAAGAGTCATTTACGAAAAATGCACCAAGAACTTAGGGAGGCTGACTAGAATCACACCCACTTCTAATACCTAACTTTGTTGTCATAGTCAGGCATCCCATGACTTGATTAGCTATTTAATGTCTAGCATACATTTTTGCAAATGGGCGAGTTTGAGGCATGAAAATAAGGCTGATGTTGTAGAAGCTTTTTACTTGCATAAATAAAGCAACTTAAAATCATGCGATTTCGTTGTATATTTTGGCACGTGATATTGCGTATTGTGTGTATGCAACGTGCAAGTCATGTTAAGTGTAAGTGTCACACTCGAACTTGAAACTATTCACGTTTTCTTCCTTTACTCAGCAGTTCCTTCCGTTCCCCCTTCAAGAGGTGCCTCGAAAACCGGTTTTCATACATACCCCCTCTTCCCGTCTGTCCACAAACCTCATTTTTATACACTTGTTACTACTATACAGGATGTTAGTTGTCTTGTTAATTTGTCCAATCTTCTTGGCTCACAAAACACTGTAATTTTGACCATTCCATTGCGTGCTAACTAGTTCGAATTTTTAGAGCCATAGTTCTTTATAGGCAATTTGTGTGTTAAAATAACCTCTTATGTATGAAATCCCCCCAAAGACATCAACACATTAGTACAGAAGCTTACAACATCCTAACCTTGAAAGAGGATCGGAAACTTCTCGGTAAGAAAGCATAACTGAGGATAGTGTCATTTTCTCGTTATACAATGTTCCGATATTATAGTTATTAGGTACTTCATGTTTTTTAAAGCAAAAAAGTATCGCATCAACAAGAAACGAGTAGAGTGGTATGTCTTTATGTTATTTCATAATATATGCGAAGAAAAGTTGGGTTTCGAGAAATCGCTTGTTTCATAATTTTTGAGCTTATTTTCATTTCGAGTGAAATTTTGGGATGAAGAGATTCGAAGGTCGCTTCCAACAGAAGACGACGGCGGATTTCTCTTGACCAGCTGTCGATTGGCTTTACTGGAACATTCATACTGGCGCTGTTTCCGAGGTGATCCCCTTTGATTCCGGTGAAAAGGTGCTAAGCTTTTGTGCATCATATGACGAACATCATCAGAGCAAGATATCATCATCACAACCAAATTGAAAATAACGAGTCAAGAAAACTCACCGGAAAATCCCTAAAAGTGGTATATATACTCTATGTCTAACCTCCTCGATAAGGTATAAAGTGATTTGGTTAGTTACGGTCATATGTCAACTTTGATGCCTGTGAGTATGTCTTTCTCTATATGTGTTCTCTTATGTTCCCTCCTAAATAGTTATTTCTCTGCATTGTATTTATAAGTGATTAGAAGTAATAGTCTATTAAACACCCTCAGTGCTACATAAAAATAAAGAGGTTTATGAAACAGATATGTACAGCATGTAGGAAGATGTCTCGTTGTTTACATCAACCTGAACGTCTTATTAAGGCCAAAAGGTTGCAGTACACCACGAATCCTCAGCCGCATTCTGTTGGGCTCACCTTTCGAACCTCTTCATGACACACACTTGCACAACATTTGAAAAGCAATCCCTGGTCCGTTTGGAATGAGACAAATTAGCGAATTTCCTCATATCAAATTTGGTTTCCAAGTGAGACTAGCTGCTGGGCGACCTGGTAGCCCAGGTTGTCTTGATTAAATTGCAATATGATTAAGGCCCAGCCTCCCCACTTTCCACCTACAACACCTACAGCTTTCTACAGTACCCTGCCATCTTTAACCCGTCGGCCCAGTTACCGCGCATATTCGGCCAGCTCGAGTCCCGCCAGTCGCCTGCGCAGGCCGAGGCTGAAGAGCGAGCCGTCTCCACCGGCCACCGGTGTCCGGCCCACTTGTCTGGGCAAAGTGTGCATTTGCATGCGAGCAAAGTCGACGAGACGATGCTGACTCGGGCTCGTCTGCTTCTCGCCAGAACTCTGACTCATCGAACCGAGTCGTCGTGCGCCCGGTCCGGTGTCGCCAAGCAGCGGATCGGTGGGTCTCGCGGCCGGTCTGCCACCCTGCGTTGGCTCGACTTCGGTACCGACTGGTCCTTCGGCTCGACTCGGTTTATGCTCCTCCTCCTCCACCGCCTCTTTTGCTTGCAGGAGCCCGGCCAACTGGGCGAATCCCATACCGACGCCGGCAGCTCGGCCCGATCCGGCCGTTGCCGTGGTCGGCATCGACGCCGTTGACACGGACCAGGCCTGGTCGGTTCTAGTTTTCGGCTCGCTCAAGCCCCTCACAGCCAGAGGCCCTGACGACCCGGTCCCCGACGGCTCGGCGATTCGGATCGACGACTTGGCCGTGGTTCTGGGTCTCGAGGCGGCGGCCAGCGAAGTCGTGGCGAGGCTGTGCTGAAGCAGCGGCGTCTGCAGCTGCAACTGCAACTGCAACTGCCTCGGGCTCGACTCCGGCTGGCTCGGAGTGTTCTGCCGATGCCGCAGGGCCACGTAGAGCTCACGTGCCCTCTGGCGCTGTTGTTGTTGTTGTTGCTGCTGCTGTTGCTGCTGCTGCTGCTGGTGGTGCTGTTGATGTTGATGTTGGTGTCGGTGTCGGTGTTCTTCAGGCGTTGAAGGTTCAACGGCGGTTGTTAGGGCGAGGCGGGACGTCGTGTCGGGCGTCGAACCGGCCTGGGCGTCGCTGGTCTGTCGAGGCAGAGCCGAGGCTCGTAGACTCGCCGGCAGTGGGCCTAAGGGGGACTGGCCGGGCTTCTGTGATTGGCTCGTTGGTACCACGGGACTCTTGTGCGGCGGCAACGGCGGCGGCGGCGGCGGAGCTTCGCGACTCGAGTTCGGCCCGAAGCCCTCGGGCCGGTGAAGTTGCTGGGCGGCCTGGCTGCGGTGCAGGAGGCAGGTGATCGGGTTCAGTCCGGTCGACTGGTTCAGCTCGGCCGAGCTCGGCCTGGCGCCGGGCGCCGCGAGCCCCGGGGCTCGGCCTCGCTGCGGCGTCTCGCCGGTCATCACGCCTGGCCAGACCATCGGCAGCAACAGACCGCCGGCATGGCCACCAGCCGGCGACGCACCGGCAGTGGGAGGATGGACCCGGCCGGACGAAGCGCTTGACAACTGTACGCCTGGCGTGTGGGTCTGGGGAGGGGGGGGCGAGGGAAAAATTGTATGTACCTGGGAGCGTTGATCTG